TGGAGGTCTGCGTTGACTGTGAAGTCTTGCACTTGAATCGGAAATCGAATAATTTTTCCATAATTCAACCAGACAACTTTGTAGATACTTCTTTTCTCGTTTTTTTCATGGGATATGAGATTTTGGGGTGAAATTTTTGCAGATTTGTCAAAACAGTTAAGGCATAATTTTATGCCATAATTTTTGCAGATTTGTCAAAAATTTCACCCCAAAATCTCATATCCCATGAAAGGGTGGCGGCATCCAGACCATCCCTAATACAGTCCGCGCCACATAAATAGACCCATAGAGTTTTTCAGGCGCAACTTTTGACCTATCACAGTGCCGTAAAAACTAAAAGAAACAAACGATAGCTTATGTTTGGCGGAATATTTTGACATACGACTTGCCGCCATCCGAGCTGTGTGTCGTTCAAAATCACATCGAATCTGAATTGCCTTCCTGGACACCACGCCAGTTGAATAGACCCAACCGTGTTGAAGTGCGCTTCAGATAAAGATACACACATCCAAGATATCTAGGGCCTAGTACATAACCTACACAACTACTAGAAACGCAAAACACTCGTTAAACCTTAGTAACGATGGGCCGCGGACCGCTTCTGACCGAGGTGGAAGTGGGCATGGTTTTGGCGCTCCGAGACCATGATTTCACACACCGTGCCATTGCCGAGCACGTCGGAAGGTCCACCAAGGCTATACGAACGGTAATCGACCAGCGCGAGGGCTATGGGAGCAACTTCAAAAACCGAAAACTAGCCAAACTTATTGGGCGGAAAATTCGGCTCCTCATTCGAGAGGCATCCAAGACCGGGTTGTCGGCAAGAAGCCTAGCGACGAGCCTGGATATTGACGCCTCGTTGCGAATATGTCAGCGCAGGCTTCAAGGCAATGAGAACATGGAGTACGTCAAGCGCAAAGACATGCCCATGCTCAAGAAAAGCCACAAGATTGCTCGGTTGGAGCGTGTGAAGAAGTACCTCAAGGATCCACCATTTTGGCCTGGAATTATATGGTCGGACGAGAAGCGATTCAACTTGGATGGCCCCGACGGTCTTCAGTATTACTGGCACGACTTACGCATGGAACCGGATACCTATTTTACCCGCAGGAACGGAGGAGGTGGAGTGATGGTTTGGGGTGCATTTTCGTCCTCTGGTTTGAGTGAATTAGCATTTCTGACAGGCAACCAGAATTCAGTTTGTTATTGTGATACTCTTGGAAATTATCTGTTTCCATTTGCACATGAAGATTATGGTCCAGAATTTGTTTTTATGCAGGATGGAGCTTCAATTCATACTTGGAAGTATACTACAGCATTTTTGAAGGACGAAAATGTCACCCTTTTTGACCACCCATCACTCTCTCCGGATTTGAATCCGATAGAAAACTTGTGGGATATACTGGCACGTCAAGTTTACGCGAACGGGCGACAGTATCAGAGCATTCCAGCTCTCATCACCGCCATCAAGGCTGCCTGGTCGGGAATTGGCCAAAACCTCTTAGACTCTCTTGTCAAGTCCATGTCACGACGCTATGTGGCCGTGTGGGAAGCTAAGGGTGGTAAAACAGAGTATTGAAGAGAAATTTGGATTATAATATCTTGGTTTTGCTGCATTTTTCCAGATTGGGTCTAATCATCTGGCGCTGGTCAAATTTTGATGTTGTCCATAAATTATGAACCACAGCTCGTAGAATGTTAAATCGTACATCAATCGCTTTGCCTATTGATAGTTAGAAAGATATACCTTGGCCTGAAGTGTAGAATAGTTTGTGTCAAACGTGAACGACCAAAAATGGGGTGGGTCTATTCATGTGGCGCGGACTGTAATTTCCACGTTTTGATGTTACGGTTGGGATATTATTATGGAAAAGACCACAAATACGACTAAGGGTCTGGTTGAAGTAAAGAATCACCCACTTTTTCAGTACCCACTTTTCCTCGTTAACTATGTGGGCACTCACTTATATAAAAAGTTCATGAAATACCAACTTTTTGAAAAAGTGGGTGGTTTGACTTGAATTTGAGTAGGTACAAATTATCAACAAGTTACTTCGTATTAA